AGAGCAACACTGTTAAGCTTCAATCATGACAAGCCTATTTATAAAGCAAACCAGTACTTTTAAAAGTTCAGGAACAATCTGCTTGACAGCTTCTACAGGTATTGTGGAAGCACTATGCCGCGAAAACAGCCGGGACGTGAACTGAGCCGTCTGCGCTCTAGACTGAGGATTTGGCTTAGTTAGTCCTCCACATATAGCTTCTGAGTAGCTTTCTAGTAAAGCCTAAATGAAGCTCATCGGAAAGATGAATGTGAAAGAGCAATGATCAAACAACTGTTAGGTTACCGTGAACGAAGCAGCATCACATAGTAGGATTAGCTCGTCTCTAAGAACAGCTTTCTTCTCCTTGAGTTTATCAAAAGCTATCGGCATTAACTGAAAACTAATAATACGCATTTTGCCTCATAACCAAACTTGATAACCCCTAAATCAAAGAGATTCCATGAGCTGCATTGTGGCAAATAAAGTCTCCCAGTATTTGTCATTCATTCCATTTACACACTACAGTGCATTTAACACGCATTTTACTGCACTGTGAAACATTGAAAGCAAGTTGTTGAATATTGTATTAAAAAATACCTTCGGCACCATTGCAGCAAAATCAGTTCTCATACTCTCGGCAAGCTTCCTCAGTACTTTAACACATATAGAGCTTACGTTTATGTTAACATCCTTCTCGAGAATCTGCAGTAAAAGTTGTTTTCAACGGTAATAAAAACTTGCTGACCTTAGACCAAAGTCAGCTGAGTTGTACTACTTGCTGGTTAATCCCACCTAGCAGCGAAGTGATATAAGAACGGTTGCAAAGCATTCAATAATAACCTTAGTCAATGTCACGATAACTTGCTGTAAATCGGGCGACAAGGCTACACGAGGCGCACTTTCCATAACAGACAACAAACTTTCCATTGCCTCTTTTCGTTCCTGCCATTTTTTGGAAGCTGCCTGGAAATACACATAGCAACAAGGAAATGGTTATTGGGAGATACTAACCAATTCATAAAAATCTTTCCTCATTTTGGCAATAACATCTGTTGGCTCCATTAAAGACCACGCGTCAATGTCTCCAGGTTCATCTGATAGTGGTGCCGACACCACCTGCAATTTGTCATGCGCCGATTAGCACAAATTAATCTTTTCAGACTTGGGCTACTTATTCTAGGGAGATTCCACAGCAAAATTACAATGAAAACGTGTTGGCCTGCTTTCATGACTATAGTTCTGTTCTGTAATAATACATGATCTCTATTAGGATGCTTAAACAATCGACGGATACATACTATCCATAACTGTCAGGCTGTATGCCGTCAATATTTGATGACAACCATACTCACCGGTATGTCAATCTTCAAAAAGTTTTGATTTTTGCTAAGCATCCAGAATTTTTTGATTATAATAGATATAAACTTCAAATGGCGGATAGAAGAACAGATATTTTTGCAACTCCTTTTGAACGGATGTGGACAACCGAATCAGCTTTCTTGGTCTCTTGCCAGCAGTTTTGCTAGAGGAGCTGCTGAGAGAACTAGACACTGCTCACGCTTGTCCTTAAGTTGCGTGGACACTGCCTTCGGAGAAATACGAGACTATTTCGTATTCGGCTGCGTTACTGATCCCAATAGATTTTAACCAAGCGAGATATCGTGGGCTAATCTGATAGAGTATAGAGAGGTCGAAATGCACGATAAGCGTCTGAACGAACGAAGTGGCGATGTGATCTGGACTGGTAACGAATATCGAATCCGCAAGTCATAGTCAGTATATGATACGGAAGGCTGTGGTGTTGCGAATGACTTGGTAATAATAAGCAAACAGAAAGACGAACCAGATTTCTCAGTGTTGATATTTGTTACCTCAATTTCTAAAAAGGTGTAACAAAAATAGCAAAAACTATTAGAACAACAAATGTCCATCTTGATTATCGATGAAAGTTTTGTTAAGAAAATGATGAATCTTACGCCATCGCTGCACAAGCTATCTCCGCCTGCCTTGTCGACCGCTGCTGCTTTCGGACGACTAGCCATGATTTCAGCGTTTTGTTTTGTGGCTTCTTCACAGTATTCTGCGATCTTAAAAAGTTTGCTCGAAAAAGGTAGCGGAAGACTGAACAACAGGCAATGCTTTGCTTTCATGCACGCCTTTGAAGCTCATCCTATACTCGGCAACAATTACCTTTTCCAACTTAGTTCTTTCTCCCATCAGTGGAACCAAGAAAGCATCAAGGCCTTTACCAAGCAGCCTCTGCGCGGCTCCAAGAGAGCTACAAGCAGCATCGCGTACAGCAGGATCACTATCT